CTTAACCAATTTATAATAATTATTGTGGTTGAAGTCAATCAGGGTACTCTTTGAAATTTTATAAAAATTTCCATTTATGCCGATTTGTCAAAAACCAGTTGGCTAAAATATAAAGTGTGTTACATCATTGTAATCGGAATTAGATATTCTATTAACGCATATATAGTATATAGCGTGATCCGTTTAAAAAAATGTGATGTATGCTTATATGTCAAAAAATTAATGGTTTTTTATTTTATACGTCACTTGGAAAAAAACTTGCCTACTAACTATTGTTTATAATTTGATATCGCTAAAAAAAATACAGCCAATTAAACTGTTATCAAGATACATTTGAAAATAATAGTAAATTGATATAGAAATCTTTCTAAAACATATACGTTACTGATTATTCCTAGACACCCTGTATAATTTAAATGAATATCTTATCAAGTTATGTCAAATTTGAAAATTTCTCATTTGTTTTTGTATACGAATTTTTCTTAGTACACAGAAAATTATTTTCAAATTTGTTTCCATTTTCTATTTGACATCTTTGTAAGTCTGATGATGTCATTTTAAGCGGGACATGTCGCCCGCCACTTTAATTAGATTCATGATATGATTTTGTGAGTTTTTCGCGTTACCTCTATTGGGTGTCGCTTTTGGTGATGTTTTGAAAGCTTTTCTAAATTTTTAACACCCTGTATATTTCTGGCAAACGCTTTTATCGACCCGGTTGGCTTCTGCGCCACCGTATAAAAGGGGGATAGGTCTTCCCTTAGACAACAGGCAAAGGTAATAACATCCGCTAATATCCGGCTAGGCGGCAAAGTAACTTTTCCTCGGTTGCGGTCTTAAATTTCAGTAATTAAGTTCGCGTATAAACAAGGGCAACGGTTAATCCGAATCGTATCGGACATCTTGATGTTTCCTCGGCGTGAAATGTGGGACCCCCGTCTCAACGCAACGATTACTCTTCGTGACGCAGCTCCGAGAGTTTCCTTTTAATTATCACGAATACGCCTTTTTAAGGGGTTGGTTATTTTAGGCATATTATTCAAAAGTCGTCGACCTAATTAAGTAGTTTCAAAGCCAATCTCTTCACTACATCGTTGCTTCTTATTTAAGAGAGTAGTGTATCGGAGACTTCTATAGTCTATTTCGCAAAATTCTCTTTTCATGGCTTTTGGCTATTGTTATCAATACACCAACAATGAAAATGTTAATAACTTTGCTGAACGCATTTGGCATGACTTGAAGTTACTGAAAACCGCCCTCTTTCTAAAGCACATTGATTGGGTTGGTTGTATCGTCGCCAGAGGTCGTTTTGCCATATCACTACAAACAAAAAAATTAAATGCAGTGATCAAAATGAGCGCACTAGTGGAGGCAGGCAAAACCATTCGTTTCAAAATTTTATTTAATTAAAATTTCCTTTTCACATTTTTCGGTTTTAACATCAAGTTTTATGCATTTTATACATATTTTATATTATTCTTCCAGTGAAAAAAAAATCCATTTAGCTTTAACCCGGCCTTATGTATTTTAGTGCTTGCGCCCTAATTTGTTCGACTGAAGATGAAATTCTTTAATATCTACCGCTGTTTGTTTTTTTTTTTATTGACGTCACAGTTTATTACAACAACAATTTTAACGCACTTGTAAACATTAAACACAAAAAAAGGCAATATAGAGCGTTCCTCCGATCATCCGGTTGCCTTCTTCAGAGCTTAACCGAGACTTCCATATTGGAGACAGACCTGAGTCGCCATTAAGATTTGTTTGGTTCCTTATAGATTTCTATACATAGAACAAGACATTTATGGAAGCCTTCAGAAGAAACCAATAGATATCTTCCACCAAAAACCAAAATTATGGAAACACTACGTTGATGAAACTTCCATCTTCCTTATAACATATAATTATATTAGATAAAATTAAAATTCTTGTATCTAATCAATTCAAGAGAAGGAACATTAACAACAAGAGGAATAATAACTATTAATGCAGTGAGCATCAAAGAGAGAATGAGAAGTCGGGATATTAGAGAAGAACTAGGAACTCTGGGTAAGAAATTCAGATGAGAAAGAGAGAAATCACACGGAGGCCACTAGACACACCTCCAGAAAGATGAGAGTTAGAAAGCAGAGCATCCAGAAGAGCTCCCAAGGCACCTGAATATTCAGAATTAAACGGTACGGGGTTCTGATAAAAAAAAGAAGAGAAGAAGAAGATCTTTAATGAAGTGCCCATATTGGTGAAAGAAAGACGCCCTTAAGATTGCTTGTTTGCTTATAGAATTCTATGGATTCTCAGACTTTACTTTGGTAGAAGAATTGATTACGTGCAAGAATTTTAATTTCTTAACAAATTTTGATATGTGGTCAAAGAGGACAACAGTGGCAATTGTGATGTTGCTTTCGGACTTGTTTTCGTTGGAAGGTTGTAGTGAAGTATATTTTGTGATGGAACGTTTAATATAATTAATGTCGAAATTATTAGGCAAAAGAGGTAAGGTGTTTTAATATTGGGTTCAGTGACTCGGGCTGAGATAGTTTTAAGGCATTGTGAACAAGAGAATTGATGAGGTTGATATGAATATCTAAGAATGAGAAATTAATGTTAGTTTCTACTTCAACAGAAAAACGTATGTAAATAAGGCCAATTACAAAAGCAGTTGTCGAGGGACTTTTTTTCTTAAAGAGTTCCATAAATATCTTCGTGATGATTGGTGATAATGAAGGACTCATAGCTGTCCACGTCGTGTGTTTATAAATTTTTACCGTTATGAGAAACGTATGTATCATATGTGCTGAGATGGTTTAATTCTAGATTCTCGCAGAATTATGAGGTTTGAATATTAAAAGAATTTTTGCAGTTTCATATCATTCGACATTTTAAATGATTTTATCATTTGGGCTAATACTTGGGGCAAGGGTGAAGTAGAGTTTGGGAGTTTCACTAGTGTTGACCTTAGTTTTTCAAATATTTGAATGTGATTTTGTGTAGAAGATAAACGTAGATTGTCAGCTTTGTCATGAATTATATTTGAAAGGGAATCGAACTCGGATTGGGACAAGATGTAAGCAATTTCAAGAGACAGAACAGACCTATTTGAGGGAGGCGGAGCTTAAAATGTACAGAGTAAAATGCGAGTCAGTTTCAATTAAGCTCTGAAGAAGTCAACAGGAGTTTCGATTCCTCAAGAAACCACCCCGGAGGAATCCAGAAGATGTGTATTACAGTACCTGCGGAAGTTTCTTTGAAAAATTTCCTTATTACCCTGTTAATCTTTTCTATATTATACAAAGGACGACTGTAGGTGTTACTGATTTCTAACTTGCCTCCATTTGATCCCATTAATGTTCGGTTAAGGTTTGAACTGCTTAGTTTAACGTCTCACTTAAGTAATTTTGGACTTCTCTTGCAGTATGTGATATGGACTTAGAAAACTCTTCTTGTGATCTGGCAATTCGTTTGACATTAGATACCGTGCCATATTTAATAACTGAGATAAAAGTGTGAATAAAAACATGATGAATTTTCTTTTAGATTTAAGCTACAATAAAAAAAATTGAAAAGGGTTGTAGAATCCAAAAAATTGCTGCGAGGATAACAATTACAACATTCAAATGAAAATGCTGGAAATATATTTTTACGGAGTAAGAAAAGAAATATTAAAAATTAATTTCCCTACGGCTATCGAGTTCAATTTTATTTTTCTGGAGAGACTTCGCCAATCTGCTGCGCATAAGTTTAAGGAAAACTTTATTAATCAATTAACTGGAAAAAGTTTGGATTTACTTTAAAAATGCAAACTAGAAATTGAATAAAAAAAAAACTTTGCCCTTATCGGCGCAGTCGGTACGGATCCGAAACAAAGGACATCAATAATGGTTTGCCGCAGGGTTCACTTTGGAGACCCTTGAGTACTTGTTGTTCATTTTCAGTTTAAAGAAGGTTCTTTTGGATTCAGATCCTAATATTGAGCAACTGGGGTAAACAGTAAATGTTGACTTGTCAAAATTTTATGGCTGCCTGATTTCAAATAAACTGAAAAATAATGTCGACTATGGTTTTTAGTGGGTTTGATCGTGGACGACAAGATCGGTTGGGATAAACCTAGAGAAAAAATCATAAAAAACAAATTTTCGTATAAGTGTATAAACTATCTGACTAATAAATTAAGATACACGATCCGCACGCCCTATTTCTTACTCGTTTCTACTTATCTGATGCCGATTTGGAGTGTTCGCCTTCAAGAAAACTTTGTTTGATGAGAATAAAATAGATTTCCAAGGACGTAAGGGCCATAGATTCATGGGGTTTGTTTAGAACAATTCAAACAAGATTGCTTTCGAAAAATCGTCGGTGAGCGGGGCAAGTTCGTGGCAAATAGCGCGAATCAGTTTTTTATTTTAAAAAGAAGGCGCTTCGCGGATTCTTGAAGAGACGCAATATTTTTCTATTGTGCTCCTGCGGACCACTATCGAACTTTTGCAAAATCGATGTAATTTGATTGTGAATACACACTGTATAAATATCAAAATTTGTACTGGTAATTGCAATTTAAAATTATATTTTTTAAAATATTTTGGGACCCCTGTATTATAGACGAAACCTCAAACTCTATCTCTCTCTCAACACAGTTTACGGTACCGTTCATATCAAGTTATCACATATTTAAAAGTTTTTCATGTATCGCCAATACTTCATAATATTTTTTGCCCACGAACGACGTACCCTGTATATAATTCCAACAATGTTCGAAATGAGGATATAGCCCTGTATCTCCATTTTTCAATTTTTTCGACTTTGCGGCGTACCCTGCATATTTTTGAAAAATTGTCAAGAATAAAAGTTGAGACTTTTCATTTCCATGATCTAGGTTGTTGTGGACATTGGCTATGATTGAAAATTGCCTTCATTGTTATTTTATGCGGCGCAGTCGGTGCGGATCGACGATAAAACAAAATAAACGCGAAAGTAATAAATCCGGACGCGTATCGGGAACTTACCCTTCCTTTTAGTGACTCGTTCAGATAGACTGCTCCCGTGTCCCGGTCTATCCTGAACGGGAGTTTGTCGGGCGGTTTTTTCGACCCGAAAAACTGCAGGGGTTCCAACCCGTAAATCAACTGACCGTTTTCTGCGTCGTTGCCGTGTACTTGGGCGATTTTACTTCCGATTTGTTCGGTGTCGTAGATTTGCCAGTTCCGGTCTAAGTACATGTACGGCGGCGTGTTATCTGCCAGTTGACATCGCACTGCGAAAGAAAAAACGACCACGTGTAGGAAATTAGTAATAGAACTTGCAATTTATTGATGATTTATGAATGCATTAATTTTGTAATTTTTACATAAAAAATATCCCCAGTGGTGCTATCTGCACTCGAAAGTAGCGTTGTCACCCTTAAAATTTACACATTTGTCGTAAATTTGCCGTAAAAAAAGTGCAGCTGTCGCTTCTCTTTTTCCTAAAATTTGCCCGTTGTATGTATTTATGCCACTTTTTTGTCGTAAATTTGTCGTAAAAAAATTGTTGTGCAGCTTCTTTTTTACAAAATACTTAGTAATGCTTCATGTTGAAATTCGCATTACCACAAATGAAATTTGCACATTCTAAATATTATACTTATTGGTTAGGAGTAAATTTTTGTCGTAAAAACACATTGGCGCTTTTTTTTTCCTTAGTTATCTTTCATAGAGAAATTCGTTTCCCTTAAAATTTGCCCGTTGTATGTATTTATGCCACTTGTTTGTCGTAAATTTGTCGTAAAAAAATTGTTGTGCAGCTTCTTTTTTACAAAATACTTAGTAATGCTTCATGTTGAAATTCGCATTACCACCCATGAAATTTGCACATTCTAAATATTATACTTATTGGTTAGGGGTAAATTTTTGTCGTAAAAACACATTGGCGCTTTTTTTTTCCTTAGTTATCTTTCATAGAGAAATTCGTTTCCCTTAAAATTTGACCATTGTATGTATTTATGCCACTTGTTTGTCGTAAATTTGTCGTAAAAAAATTGTTGTGCAGCTTCTTTTTTACAAAATACTTAGTAATGCTTCATGTTGAAATTCGCATTAGCACCCATGAAATTTGCACATTCTAAATATTATGCTCATTGGTTAGGTGTCAATTTTTGTCGTAAAAACACATTGGCGCTTTTTTTTTCCTTAGTTATCTTTCATAGAGAAATTCGTTTCCCTTAAAATTTGACCATTGTATGTATTTATGCCACTTGTTTGTCGTAAATTTGGCGTAAAAAAATTGTTGTGCAGCTTCTTTTTTACAAAATACTTAGTAATGCTTCATGTTGAAATTCGCATTACCACCCATGAAATTTGCACATTCTAAATATTATACTTATTGGTTAGGGGTAAATTTTTGTCGTAAAAACACATTGCCGCTTTTTTTTTCCTTAGTTATCTTTCATAGAGAAATTCGTTTCCCTTAAAATTTGACCATTGTATGTATTTATGCCACTTGTTTGTCGTAAATTTGTCGTAAAAAAATTGTTGTGCAGCTTCTTTTTTACAAAATACTTAGTAATGCTTCATGTTGAAATTCGCATTACCACCCATGAAATTTGCACATTCTAAATATTATACTTATTGGTTAGGGGTAAATTTTTGTCGTAAAAACACATTGGCGCTTTTTTTTTCCTTAGTTATCTTTCATAGAGAAATTCGTTTCCCTTAAAATTTGCCCATTGTATGTATTTATGCCACTTGTTTGTCGTAAATTTGGCGTAAAAAAAATGTTGTGCAGCTTCTTTTTTACAAAATACTTAGTAATGCTTCATGTTGAAATTCGCATTACCACCCATGAAATTTGCACATAAATATTATGCTTATTGGTTAGATTTAAATTTTTGTCGTAAAAACACATTGTTGCTTTTTTTTCTTAGCCATCTTTCATACAGAAATATGTCACTTTTTTGTATTAAAAAATTGTCGTGCAGCTTCTTTTTGTAAAATAATTACTAATGCTTCATGCCGAAATTCACATTCTAAAACTTTTATTTAAAGATTGAGTATTTTTGAAAAGTTTTTTATAGATGGTTATGGATTGGGCATAAATTTTATCGTAAAAGGAAGGAATGATATTATTAACTCTATAAACAAACTAAAAAACGATAATAAAATAATAAAAAAATTGCAACTCGCAGCAAAAATGCGAAAATCATTCCATTCTCTAAGCAAAATGCGAAATGTTTAAAATGCATCAAGGATGTTGTAAATAAAATTATCGGTGTAAATTATTCTTCAGTGTGTTTCGAAATTACTATGAGAAGCAACAGAAATTGTAAAAGTCTAAAAAAAATTATCAAAAAAAAAATATGCAAACTTTCTAGATATATTTTATAATTAATGACTTATTATTAAATCTTACCCTTTGCTGGTCTATCTAACTATTTACAGATTTCTTCGACTAAATGCTTTGGCTCCATATTTATACTTTCTTTGGCCGGCCTTTGTTGAAATTTTAAAAATAATGTTAATTTTTGACCATCCTGTATTTATTTATTTTTAAAATATCAACGCAACCCAGTCAAGTAGATCCTCTATAATTAAGTTAACCCCAAGTATTGTAACAAAGTCATTGGGTAGGATAAGTCTATACATCAGAAACGGTAATACTTTTTGGATGTTTTTCCTCAGGTTCTGAAAGAAGGTTACGCCGCAAAAATATTACTTTCTATTGTTCGCTCGTCACAACGGATATCTACGCTCCGCATTTTATTTTTATTCTGATTTTTGTTAGACTTCCTGAGAATCGACACTCTTCAATTTTACTTCCCTCGTATTTTCGATAGGGTGAAATACGGTAAGCGAATTTAATACCTTACGAGTGTCGGTGCATCACTGTCTTGCCTCTAAGCGGTTTTAACGAGCAAAATATAAAATCCCCCGAAACTCAAACACGGGATGGGGTTGGGGGGGTGGAAGGTTGTTGTTGTTTCAAAAATATTTACCAGATGAGTTTTAAATCTAATAATTTACATAATAATTCATTCACACATTCACACCTACCATATAATGATTATAAACTAAATATACATTGATGATTTTCATGAAATAATTTACCAAGATAAAAATGAAATTTTAATAATAAAATAAATAATATTATATTTAATATTATTATAGTTATTAGCATATAATTTTTAATTGCTATAATAGACAGGGTCGGATTCATTAAATAAACAAATTAATGGTTCCATTTTTTTTTTTGCTTTATAAATGGCAAATGTGATTTTCGTTAGATAAATTATTTTTATGAATCAAAAAGTTGTTTTACCAAGCTTATATTCGAATTACAAAATAAATAAGAACTAAAAGTTCAGATTTTCACGATATTATATATTATGACATGACAATTGTTTCGACAACACCGTGTCTCTATCAAATATTCATCATTTGTAGAAACAATTGTCATGTCATAATATATAATTTCGTGAAAATCTGAACTTTTAGTTCTTATTTATTTTGATAAATGGATTTTAATCAAGTAAAAACCACCTCAGTTCAATTTTCGAATTACTTTATTACAGCAGCAACTTGCATTTACATAAGCTTTTATTTTTTACCGTTTTTGATTCTTTTAAATTAATTTATTAAAATTTTTTATAAGAATATTAAGATTTCTAACATTTTTATTTTTCTATAAATCTTTAAACATTTAAAACATTTTGAAAAAGTGACATAACATAACAAACACTTTTATTTTTTGTTTTTTATAATGCACCCTGCATAATATAAAAATAATTTTTGTTTTTGTAAATCTGGGTATAAAACATTGTTGTAAGTGGTATATTTGATTAGAATTAGGTAAAATTTGAGTTATTTGAAAATCGTGACCTAGACTAATCCTTATTACAAAAAAGATGTTTAATTTTTTTGAAAAAGTGATATAATATTACACACATTTTGATTTTTTTGTCATTTTTATTGCATCCTGCATAATATTAAAATAATTTTTGCCGTATATATCTGGATATAAAAATTGGCATTAGACTAAAACTAGTTAAAATTTTAGTTATTTGAAAATTCTCACCTAGACTAATCATTCTTTATTACAAATGTATGATTAATTCTTGAAAAAGTTACATAATATTACAAACAACTTAATTTTTTATCGTCTTTAATGTACTCCGCATATTTGATTCAAATTCTCTAAGATTTGCGTTGAAAATTGTCTAATTATTCTTTATTACAAATATATGAATAATTCTTGAAAAAGTGACATAATGTTACAAACATTAAAATTTTTTCTCGTTATTGATGCACCCTACATAATGTAAACATAATTTTTGTTTCCATAAATCTCAGTATCAAAAATTGTTATAAACAGCATATTTGATTAACATTAGGCTTGTATTATTTGGAAAATTTTGCCTAAAATAACCGCGGCTTGTTAAATGAAACGCTTCCTTTTTGTAAAATATTTACAAAATGCTCTTATTTATTATCCCATTTGATGCAACCTGCATAGTATAAAAATAATTTTGGTTTTTTATAATCGTTGAACTAAAAGTAGTTATAGGCATACCTGATTAAAATTAACTAAGATTTTGGTTACTTGAAACTCGTTACCTAGACTAACATTGCCTGATTAATGTAGATGCTTATTACAAAAAAACGTTTACTCTGTAATCGTGTCTAATGCAACTGCATATTATAAAAGGAATATTTGTTTTTATAAATTTTGGAATCAAGCATTTTCATTTCTGATTAAAACTCGACAAAATTGATGATTGATTGATATTGATTTGGACAGGCGTGAGTTACCACGATTAACAGTTTTCAAAACTGACAAGTATTTTGAAATAATTGTATCACATTAGTACGACTCTATTTTTCTAGAGGCTTTGGGGCGTGGATTATATATACATAACGCGAATAGACTCAAATCTAACCTTACGTCGGAAGGCAATATTTTCAGCCTCGTAAAATAGGAAACAAATTTAGTATCGGCACGCGGCGGGAAATCTAGAGCTGGGAATCTATCGCAGCAGCCAGAAGGGCCTTTCGAAAAGGCTTTCTTCCGCTTCCCTAAGCCTTGACCTCTGTTACAATGAGAAAGGTGTATTGAATTAGTGAAACAATTATCTCCAACAATGGAAATAAAGTTTGGCGGGCTTTATTGCTATGGAAGTCCTCCTTTTGCGATGAGATAACCGGAAAACAATGTCTAAGGGTCGTTAACGGGGGGGGGAGGGTATTTTTCAAACGAATCGTTGAAAAAATACGCACTCACCGT